GTAGGGAAATCCGCGGGGGATTTAAATATCCCCCGTGGCATTTAAATAAAAATGTCCGCCGCTTTTTTCCGGCTTTTAAAAAAGCCGGAAAAGAGCGTCTACACTGGCCCCGATCCTCCGGAAAAAGTGCCCTTTTCCGGAGGGTCTTATTCCTACTTTGAGGCATAGGGAGAGATCTGTTGAAAAAGGCTTTCTTTCTCAACAGATCCCCCTCTAGACTGCAGTTTTTGCTAGCAAAGTGCTGAGTCTGCAAAAACGGTGGCCATTTTTATGCAAATGAGGCATGGGATATTTAAATCCCGGCCTCATTTGCAATGTCGACCTGCCTAATCTGCATCCTTCTGCTGACAGAGGGATGCAGTCTAGACATACCCCATACCATGAAATCCAGAAAAAGAAGGGAGTAGTGGAAATCCACACAGCCCACAGAAGGCGTAACATCACCAAGAAAGCTTGGATTCCATTCAATTATTGAAAAAAGATCATTAGATTTCTAAAAGATTACAGTAAAATAAAGAAAAATGGAAATCACTTATAACACTTAATGGTGGATCAGTTTCATGGAGAAAAAATGCAATTAAATGCACAAGTATTTAGACAGCAAATATTTTCATTATGAAAAAATAAAACACAGTTTAATTACCATATTCTGAGCTCCCCTGCATTTCAATAGCAAGTAATTAGTTTAGTAAAATTTCAATACAGGTTTCTGGTCAGTAACACTTGAAATATACACAGCAAATAAACCAGCACCAATCAGCACGATTCTAGAAAAAGCATAGTCAGCCCCTTTTCTGTATTTTGGGAATGTGAATCTTTGGAAAGATATTTAACAAGCCGTTTCCTGGCTGGTCAATGGGATTTGAACCAGGGATCCTTAGTACTAAAGCATGAAGCTAAAAGATAAATTCTGTTAGTTTGCTTGGAAACTCTAGTGAATCTGTGACATTTCTAACAATGGAAAAGGAGGGATCAGAGGGCAGTTTTAATGCATTAATTAGAAATCAAAGTACAGTAATTCCTCATTTAACACATGCCCGTTTAACACGTTTTCGCAATAGCACGATTTTTTTTTAGGGAACATTTTTTGAATTACACGACCGTCCCTGGAATAACACGATTTCCCCAGCTGGCTCGTTGCTGCCAGCTGCACAGGGCTTCCCTCGCCTCCCTGCAAAGCAGCGGAGGGTTCGCCCCCCGCCTCCCTGCAAAGTGGCAGAGGGTTCGCCGCTCACCATGCCATTCCCCAACAGGGACATACTCCCAACCCAATCCCCCTCCTCTCTCCTTTCCTTCCCTTCCCCAGAGCCAAACACCTCCCCTCCCTGCTTGTAACCCAGTCTCCTTTCAACCACAACCTTATGTCCCAGTCCCAACAAGTTTTTTCTGTAACATGTGTGGCATATACAAAATACATGCTTGTCTGGTCTGGTGTGAAGGTTTTAACTGTGCAGTGTGAATGCCCTGCATAACTGGTCTTGTGACTCCATTGCTGAATGGCGGTTTTATTTATTTGCATTAAATAAAGCCTACAGGGCTTGATTTTCCTCATTTGCACTAGTTGAAGGGGAAATCTACACCAGGTTGGGTTGTGCGAGTCCCAGCTCAGGTAGACACATTTGGCAGAACAGGCCACAAGTAGGTTCGCCGCCCTAGTACCTTCCTAGAGAGTCCGGCAGGCATGCGCTCCTGCCCCATTG